CCGGAGCCCAGCAGTCCGAGGCTGCAGTGGCCGGGAGCGGCCACTGCACTCCAGTCTGGGCGACAGAGTGAGACTCCAACTCAAAAAAAACAAACAAACAAAAAAACAATTATCAGACACCCAGGGTTGTAGTGAAGGAAAGCTACCTAGACGAGGTGAGTTTTGACCGGGCTCAGTGGCTCAGCCTGTAATCCCAGCACTTTGGGAGCCTGCGGGTTTGAGACCAACCCAGGCAACTTAGCAAGACCTCATCTCTACAGTAAAAAAAAAAAAAAAAAAAATAGTCGAGTGTGGTAGCACGCGCTTGTAGTTCTGGCTACTTGGAAGACTGAGGTGGAAGGATCGCTGGAGCCCAGCAGGTCGATGCTGTGGTGGCTGTGAGTGTGCATGCCACTGCACTCCAGCCTGGATAAAGGAGTGAGACTCCAACTCAAAACAAAAAAAAGAGGTGAGTTTTGAGACTAGTTTTTTTGTTTGTTTGCTTTTATTTTTTAATTTTATAGAGAAGGAGTCTTTGCTATGTTGGCTAGGCTGGTTTCGAATTCCTGGGCTCAAGTGATCCTCCCACCCTGGCCTCCCGTAGCACTGGGATTACAGGTATTAACCACTGCACCCAGACTGAGACTAGCTTTGAAAGGTGATGGAGCCGGGCTCGGTGGCTCAGCCTGTAATCCCGCGCCTTGGGAGGCTGAGGTGAGTGGATTGCCTGAGCCTGCGCGTTCAAGACCTGCCTGGGCAACTTGGTGAGACCTCATCTCTACAATAAATTAAAAAATTAGCTGGGTGTGGTAGCGTGCGCCCATAATTCCAGCTACCTGGAAGGCTGAGGCGGAAGGATCGCCGGAGCCCAGCAGGTCGAGACTGCAGTGGCCCGGAGCAGCCACTGCACTCCAGTCTGGGCAACAGAGTGAGACTCCAACTCAAAAAAAAAAAAAAGAAAGGTGATGGGGCAAAGCTTGGTGACTCAGCCCATAATCCCAGCACTTTGGGAGGCCAAGGCGAGTAGATTGCCTGACCCCGTGGGTTTGGGACCAGCCCGGGCAACTTGGCAAGACCTTGTCTCTAGAATAAATGAAAAAATTAGCCAGGCATGGTAGTGCATACCTGTAGTTCTGGCTACTTGGAAGGCTGAGGCAAAAGGATCACCGGAACCCAGCAGGTCAACGCTGGGGTGGCCATGAGCGTGCCACTGCCCTCCAGCCTGGGTGACAGAGTGAGGCTCCAACTCAAAAAAAAAAAAAAGGTGATGGATGTGGATTGGCAGTCATTCCAGCGTACTCATTCTCTTCCTCATGTTTTCCTAGGAAACCTTTGCCCGAGCGAAGACATGGGTAAAGGAGCTACAACGACAGGCCAGTCCTAGCATCGTTATTGCCCTGGCAGGGAACAAAGCTGACCTGGCCAACAAGCGCATGGTGGAGTATGAAGTAAGATGACCCATAGCATCCTCTCTAACACACTCCCTCTGTTCCTGGGACCTCTTTTTTTCCAAACAAGCCCTCTGAAAACCTCACCTGAGGACATTCATTGTCTGATTTCCCAGTTCTACACCAAGTTAAATACAGCAACACTGTGACACTAATGACAGCCAGGAGATTTTAGAGGAGTCAGAAGAAATTCCAGAGCAGCGGGGTAGGGAAGTACCAGCTGTGGGGGTACCAGTGTGAAAACAGGAAGGAGGGATCAATTAAAATTGAGGTGGGATCAATTAAAATTGAGATGAGGGACTATTCAAGTGTCAGAACCCAAAAGCCCCCAACCAACTTACCTTCTCCCCCATAATTAAAATTCTTGATATTTGTTTGTTGGACTGAGTAGACATGGGTGTATCTTGAGAGAGTTATCACCAAACTATGGGTCCAGGCCCAGCAGGCTCAAAGGGGCATTAATTAAGGGGAGGGAGCCTGCCTACCTCTGGTGCTCCACGGGCGTGGAAAGGCAATGCTTGTTCTCATCCTACATTCTCAGCACCAGTACACCCCACCCTTTGCAGGAGGCCCAGGCATATGCCGATGACAACAGCTTATTGTTTATGGAGACTTCAGCCAAGACAGCTATGAACGTGAATGATCTCTTCCTGGCAATAGGTAAGGACAGAGCAGCCTGCAGTCTTTCTGTCTTTTCCCCTTGTCTATACACAAAATCATCACTAGCCCAAATCAAGGATAAGTGGGAGTGTCCCCTCTTGTAAAAAACTTTAGGTATGGAAATACCGTAACCTTCTGTGGTGACTTCCATCCTTGGCTGTAACTTCAGCACCCTTGTCTTCACCATAGTTCACAAACAGTGAACCCTCCCCTCTTCTGAACATTCTTTGAAGTCTCTTGAATTCCCCTTTTCCCTTTATTTTTCCCCCACCCCATAGCCTTTTTGGGGAGGTGGGGGGTTTGTAAAATCTACCATACTTTGTTCCCTTCTCTTTTTATCTTTAGCTAAGAAGTTGCCAAAGAGTGAACCCCAGAGTCTGGGGGGTGCGGCAGGCCGAAGCCGGGGTGTGGATCTCCATGAACAGTCCCAGCAGAACAAGAGCCAGTGTTGTAGCAACTGAGGGGGTGGCTAGCGGCAAACAAGTATGGAGCTAGCACGAGAGCTAAGAAATAACCTCCATCCCCACCCCTCAGCACACAGCCCCTACGGTAACAGCACACTGAGCCCTGGCTCCCAAGGGCTGCCTCCTGACAGCTCCGTCATGGCACTTTTTAACGCTTCAGCAACCAACACCAGGCAGCTGTTGCCACTGGCCTCCTACCCCCCACTCTGGGGCTTGGGGGTCAACTCCCCCCAGGACTTACCTTCCAAAACAAACTTTCTTCACTTTGTATTATAGGTACAAGACAGTGACCTACTTATCTTTTCTCTTCCTCCCCAGTGTTCTTCCCCATTTTTTCAGAAAACAACTTTTGTCTCTTGCCCCTTCCCCCTTCTGCTTATGGTCAATCCCTGTTCTTGATCCTTTCTCTTCTCCCCAGGATGGAGAAGGTGGTGAACCCAGGAACTGAGGAAGGAGGTTTCCAGTTCAGTCACATTAAGGGCCCTGGGAAAGAATAAAGCTCAGAGCAGGAGGGAGTAAGGAAACATTTCCTTTTTGTTTTTATTTGGTTGGAGTTTTTCATATTTGAAAACACCGAGGTATCCGTGAGTTGGCCTTGTAGAGGGTATTCCTAGGTAGAGGTGAGAATGGGGAGACAAGCTCTCAGACACCAGGTGGGAGGTGTGTTGTTAGCTGACTGGGCAGAGGTGGAGATGCAGTGTCACCTGCAGCTCTGGAACTCTTCTGGGGCTCAATTTCCCCTCACCCATCCTCATCTTAGGTAGCTTCTCCCCTGTAGTGGGGATGGGCCCCCAGAGTCCTCCAAAGAATCTTCACTCGTTGCCTGCTTCTTTGGCTCTGCTGTGATCTAATTGGAGGAGGGACCAGTTTCTGTTATCCATCCTCTAATTTATACATACGCATTTTCCCCTCTGGCCTTTAGATGGCCTCAGACCCAGCCACCATATGCCCCTGCAGTTTGCACTTTAATTGATGGTAGTTCAGTTGGGACACTTGTTTTATGGGGGTTTTGGTTGATTTACCCACCCTCTCACCTTTTTAATTAAATGGAATCTGAGGTATATATGAGGTTTGGGGGGGGCATGGAGAAAAGGACCAGTGGCAGCTACTCAAGCCCAATATCCACTGTTTGCTTCCCCCAACTCTGATCATAACCTATATTCTTGCCAACCTAGCTCTTGAGTATAGGCTTGCCTTTCCTGGAGAATTAACTGAGCAACTGGGGAGTGGTCTCAGGATAGCACAGGCCAGGGCAGGGGAGCAAAGAGGGGTCAGACAAAAGGGAGGAGTTTTCTATCCTTTCCCAGGGTTCACATTCAATTTGATATCCATTACCATGTCTTTTCTACTTCCCTGTAAATAGGTATGACCTTTATGCCCACTGTACAGTCTGTTCTGTCCCCTGCCTCCCATCAGGCCCTCTTTCTTTTTTCCTTTGTTAGTATCTCGAGTTTAGTGCCATCCTTATCCCCATTCCCCCCCCCCATGCAACCAGTGGTTTTAGCCCATGTACCACTAGGGGCTAGTACCACAGAGGCCTCCTCGTGGTGCCCTTACGTCATACCACCTGTTCCCGTGGACAGGGAATGACTAGCACTGACGGTACCTCACAGCTGTCTCATATCATCAGAGAACCTCGGTCCTTTCTAAATCTCTAGCCTCTCTTCATATCCCTCATCAGGTGTTTTAGGTTGTCTGTGGGAAGCCATCAAGGCAAGAGAGTTCCTTCTTGTTCCAACCGAGATTTTTGGGGAAGAAAGATAGGAAAGGTCACAGTGACTTAGGATTGGAACCGTTCTGCCCTTTTGGCTTACAGACTGCCTTCTGTTCCAGAGCAGCTGAGAAGTCCATGAAGCTGAGATTCTGAAGGACCCAGCTCAGGTTCTTCCACTTAGGCCTCAGTTCCCTTCTTTTCCAGGGGCAGCCTTAGTTCCCACGGCCCTGAAACATACACATTTCCCTCTTCCTTTCCCAGAACCTCCTGGCCCCCAAAGCACCCAGTGCATCCTTTTTACAAGTGGAAGAACTAGGGTGGCTCTCTTTAAGTCTCTTAGAAATGAAGTTCTTTTCTGTGCAGCTTTCTCTATGGAGCAGGAGTGAAGATGTCTCATTGCCTTGGGGCTGGGAAACCATTTCCCCAGACTTCTCCCCACTCCCCATAGGAACAGGATTGGCCTTAGCTTCTGGGCCTATCTGCTGCCTTCCCTCTACTTCCTACCAGCTCTTCTGCCTTCCTTTGAGTTCTGTTGGGCTTGGGGATCTTAGTTTTTTATTTCCCAGCTCTTCATTTTTTTCTTCTGGTCAATTTTTTTTAGGGGGGGGGATGTTGTGGTTTTTTTGTTTTTGTTTTTGCTTCTAAGAAAGCATTTGCCTTTCTTCCTCTCCCAACTTAACAATCGTGGTAACAGAATGCGACTGCTGATTTACCGATGTATTTAATGTAAGTAAAAAAGGAGAAAAAAAAAGTGCTTTGGAGTGTTGCTTTATTTTTTCCTATGTGTTTGTCTGATAGAAGGAATTTGGAAGAAAGGGTACGTGGTAATGATTTGTTGAACCAGAAACCCACCCTCCCCTGCATCTTGGTATTTCCTTCTTCCCTTTAATCAATTCTTGAACAGCAAAGAATTCCAATTTGGAAAATAGCCTATAGATTGCTATTTAATCACCCCTATTTGGAGGCCATCTGATCCTGTTTTATCTTTTTAAATAAAAATACATCTTTTTTTTTTTTTTTTTTTGGAGTCTCTCTGTCACCCAGACTGGAGTGCAGTGGCACGCTCCCGACCATCGCAGCCTCGCCCTTCCACCTCAGCCTTCCAAGTAGCCGGAACTACAGACATGCGCTAACACGCCCAGCTAATTTTTGATTTATTGTAGAGACGAGGTCTCACCAAGTTGCCTAGGCAGGTCTCAAGCCCGCGGGCTCAGGCAATCCACTTGCCTCGGCCTCCCAAAGTGCTGGGATTACAGGCTGAACCACCAAGGCCAGCCTAAAAATACATCTTAACAGAATGTATTTATGTGTGGGTTGTGGTCTATAGATCTCTGGGCTCACTGATGAAATTGGAGGGAAGTGGTGCTATTTGTGAATCCTTTGAAGTAATATGCAAACATTTATATGCAATTTTCCAGGGTCCATTGCTATATTAGTTTCTCAAAGGGGCCTATGATCTAAAGGGTTAAAAAAAACACTAAATTGGGATTTTTGATTGGTCGTGTGACTTCCATCGCAACAGGAAAATGTCCCTGATCTGTTCTTGACTCCTACTGTACTTGAAGCTCTTCAGTCCATCACAATCTAAAGGGAGGTGGGGAGGGGAACAAAACAGAAAAGATTAGGTGTGGTTGCAGGAGGAGTTTCAAATTCCAAAGAATCTGAAGGGAGACAGGAAAGAGGACTGGTGCCAGACAAACCTTGCATTCCAGTCCCACCTCTGTCAACTTACCAGCTGTGGCCTTGATCAAGTTACCTGGTGCTCTCTGCGTCACTTTCTTCATCTGTAAAATAAAGTTGAGGATTAAGGGTCAACTATGTAAAGCATGTGTTGGAAAGAGTCTTATCCCACAGCTTTTAGACAATCCCCGATTTCTCCTTGGGCTGAGCCCCTATTCTGTTTGAACGTGTGACTGACTTGAAGCTCTCTCTTTTTTAGTAACTGCTAAGATAAGTCGCACCGGGTTTCACCAATCATTTAATTGAAGACAGGTTGAAAACCTTTCCATTTCCTCCAAACGTCTAAGAGCCAAAGTCAACTTTTCACTGGCAGTTCCCCCCCACACCCCTAGGCTCCTTGATTCTTGGTAAAAGCCCTAGTTGGAAAGCTGAAAAGAAAGGGAAATGATCTTCCAAAATTAAAGGTGAACACCTTCCCTTAAACGGGTTAAGATTGCAGCGCGACCCTCCGGTCTCTAGAGGGCAGTGCATGGATACATTTCCCGGGTTCGGGGAAAGGTTTGATACATTTTCAGTCCCGCGTCAAGTGATGAAAAGGTCATAGAAAACTTATTCTGTTAGTGTCCTTTGAGATACGAGATTATAACCGTTATGCTTTGGGGTGTTAGGCTCCCATTGCTCCCGTTAGAGGGCAACTTTTAGTCAATCTACGCAAAATAAAGATGACTCCATTCAGTGTTGGTTCTACGTTTTGGGAAGAAATATAACTAGTCCAAGGAATCTCGAGTTCTTGGAACCACTGTTTCTGCTCTCACTTTTGGATGTCAGAGACCTGAGCGATCGACCTTGCTGTCCCTTAAAAAAACAGACGCTTGCCAAAAACAGGCGGCGCGGGAGAAGCCCGGCCGGACCCGGAGGCGTCCTCCAGGGAAGGCACCTTCGGCCCCTCAGTCCCCCGTCCCCGGCTGGAGGGGCCCCTAAGTCCAACTCTTGGCGTCCTCGTCGCCTGCCCTGCCCGAGGTCCGGACATCAGCGCGCGCCCAGTGCCTCGCGCAGGGCTGGGCCGGCTCGGCGGCCGCGGGAGCG